ATCTCTTTGTAGGAGATAGCATATTTAAAATTGTTTACATTAGATATGTTGATGATTTGAATGTGTCAATATGTCTATATATTACATTATATTGTGATAATAAAATGATGACTCAATCCAGTAGTGTTGAATGACGAGCTCAGTTTTAACAAAGTACTTCATGTTAAATCCATTTTGGGCAAGGGACTGAAAGCACATTTATGACATTTATGAAATATCGTTGTCAAAGCAATATCTGCATTTATCTCCATGCAGGCGAGCGGATCTCAAAGCAGATAAATTAATTATCAGCTTCGTACGAGGCGCGGATCTCAAAACAGGCACATGTAATGTATATTATTTAAAGCCTTGCTATGTTATTAGAGTCACCCCCGTGTACCTCTGTTGAGATCGTTCCCTCCTTCATCATAACATGTATGTAATTACTTCTTACTCTGCCCTGATACATCGGTATGATGTGTATTCCTCCCACGGCCCCCTTCTCTCTTTTATTTAAAAAATTGTAAGTTAAACAGGGACGTATTAATTTTTAAAGAAAAAGTTGATGCCTTGTGTCTGGGTACCGAGGCGCCTGCTCTGATACCACAGGTATTAAGAAGGGAACATTGTCTAGGAAAGGATAATATTAAACAACTCTATGATGTAACAGACGGAAATATTTTAATAAAGCAAAGACTGAAGAGTTTAATAATGAAGAAAAAACGTGAAACACTGTGTACTGTTGATAAGTGGGATGTCACAGGCCTGATGCCGTCTAGCCGTTGGAATACGAATTCCGCAAAAGTCCGAAGACCATGGACTGTTTGCAAAATACGGATCTCAGTCAAAACACCTTGGCTTTGCTATAAATAAAAACCTTGAAACTTATCTCCAATTTTTTTAATTTATCACCCGTCGAAAAAATATTGCGCCTGGAAATGACGTGCATGTATTGACGGTCCTCTACATTACACGGCAGGCTGGGGTAGATAGGGTCCCGATAGCTAATCTAGGCCAGCTATTGATAATTTTCTTCACTGGTAAAGCCGCTAGTCCTGGCCACATCTAAACTAACTTGGTATTTGGTTATCACGTGGAAACTTCTAACGGCCATGAGAGCTTTGTTGTCATCGCTCTGGACTTTGCTATTTTTCAGTTGACCAAGAAGAAGAAATCCCGGAGTCTATGGAGATTTTAACTTTAGACTTGATTGTGCCCAGGGATTTTATTTTTCACGGAGAAACAACCTTGGGGTGACATAATTAATTTTGTTTGTTCTTTATTTGTATAATGGATATTTAATACGTGAGCAGGCCCTAGCGAATGTGAATGGAACTTCAGTTTTGAAATCGTTTTATCAGGAATTCCGTTCAACTCACCTGTTGAAAAAATACCTGTACCAATATATCTAACGGACAGACCGCGCAGCTGTTCGGGAAAACAGTGACTTATAGGGTGCCAGGAAGTTTGCAATAGGTAGAGTGTATTGAGAGTCTTCTACACATTGTAACGGAGTAAATTCTGGCTATATTGGATCGGCTGTCCGCAAGGTAAACATGCTTCTATAGAGCTATCTTAATGGAGCTATTAGAGACTGTAAACCTTTGTAAAAAGTCCGCGAACTTAAAAGCTAAACAAACAGGTCTTGATAGGCGGGGGGCGAAGCGTGAGTTACGACAGAGCTAGATTTATATCCTTCATCCTCTGGTACGCTGGTACGCGGAAATTACCTGTCGTAAGCCAAAAAACTACACAGATTTCTTAGGATTTTGATTTATTGAAAAAATTAAATCCTGTCCCAGGTTAATTGAATTTTTTTTTTATAAATGACAGGAGAAAGGAAAAGATGTCTCTTGTCACAATTTTTTAAAAAATATACGAACTCTTAACTTTAATAGAAATATAAAATGATGAAAGTGGTGAGTAAAAACTTCTCTCTAAATTATTATTTCAAATTAAAATTGAAATAGATGCAGACTTCCTTATAGGAGAAAAATGAAACAGATCGGTAAAATTCTCCAATAAATTTCTGTAGTTTTTCACACTTATGATTAATTTCCGTTAAAGAAAACCGTTATACCTGGGAAATAACGGTATATAACAACTGGTCACCTAATTACGCCAATGGAGATAGGGTGTTAATGAACGAAGGTTAATTACGCTATAACCAGCCTTGATTGGTATAACGGTATATGACACCAGAACAGTTTTTAATCAGCGTCTATTGAAATTCGATTTTTAGATGACATGTTCATATTTGACTAATGTCACTTTGATGGGGGTCAAGGGGAGATAAAAAACACACAGGTACCCGGGCACTGCCTTTATTAGTTTTATTTCTTTGGGTCTGAATACACTATACTTAGAAAGCAGATCATGGATTATAAGCACGATAACGGTTAGTGTATATATTTATCAATAGTTTTGTGGCTTTTATTTGCGTTTAAAAAAGAAAAAAATGCCAATTTAGGTTTCAGTTAAATTTTGACAGTTCTATAGATGTGTCATTGATAAACTAAAATGTTAAATAGGGTTTTAAAAAAGCTAACTGGGCTATTAGGAATGACAAGTTATAATGGTATAGGCAATGATGAAGTGAATTGATTGTAATTGATTAATTCTGATAATGTAAGGGTATAAAACGGTCAGAAACACACTTTACCAGTTTAAGAATGTTATAAGAGCACGCATGGGCAGTATCACAGAAGAATTCAATTCGTGTACATCTGTACTCGAAAAAAATAAAATAAATAAAAAATAATAAATTGGAAATATCCAGCATTAATGAATACTACATCTAAATGGAGGGTTTATATTTAAATAAGTATTGGTCTGTCATATTGTTTTATATTTTATATTTTTATACATGCACTGAAGTCACATGACTTAGAAAATCTACATACATCTGTACATATTTATCTTATAACAATATTTCTAGGATTTTTTGTATGTTTTTATCATTTAAAAAAAGCTTGGCGCTAGTCGCTCGCCCTGACTACTACCAACAGACGTGTTTAATGTCAAACTCCGCTTGTTAGCGAACGATGAACATGAAAATCACATTTATTTCATGTTAGCGTAATTTAGAATAACTGTCCTGTTGTGTCAAACAAAGGTCACGATACAACCACGCGAAAACATTTCCTGATAAACTTCTACACACGAGCGAAAATATTTGACATCCATAAAAGAATCTTTACTATTATTTCACCAAAACTAAATCTACTCTCTCTAAAACTCTCTTTCTTTTGATAAAAGAAACATGTTAGATTATCCCTTAAAGTTGTTGTGTATATAAAAGAGTATTATTACTGTGATAGGCGATTGTGTCGTTAGATAATCTCCCTTTATCTGGAAGCGTTGATCGCGTTATCTCCCTTTATTCAAAACAAGAAGCATTTCCTGTTTTCTCTGTATTGTTTCCGAACCCGAGTAAATCAATTAATTGTATCAATATTTACGTTCGTGTTACATAAGACTTCCCCGAACTTTGTTGTCCCTGTTGTCATTCGGATCATCATGTCCCCCGGGCTGGGCTGATGTGACAACCAATCAAGTTCAGCGAGCACTGGCCTGGCTTTAGTTGTAGATGAAAATACCCAGAAGACTTTGTAATTCGTTTTATCTGTCAAAATATGATGTTATTTGTCAGTGGAGATAATAGATTTGTTTCCTTTGTCGTAAAAACTCTATACCTGATATAACAAGTTAATCTTTTGACATCCCACAGGCGCGCACTGAAATTATTTTTACATCATTTTGGACATGTTTTTGGCATGAATTTGTCCAACGATCATGTAATGCAATTTGTCAAACAGGAAAAAGATTAAATGCACATTTACTTAGAAAATATCTAGATATTAAAAACTTAATAATAACAGATGACTAACATAAGTTGAAGGGACTTCTGGAGTCTGCCCTGATTGTCTTGTATTGACATTTAGGATTTACCGACATAGGTAAGTTTTCTTGCTCCTGTCATTGAAAACCATTCTCTAATTGACCACTTCTCCATTCTGTCAATAAAAGCAGCAACATGTTCAATATTTTTCTTAATTCTTAAAATTTTTAAAGTCTCTCAAACAACTGTTGTGTCCAAAAATAGACGCGGACTGTTTTTCCCTACAAGAATAGTCATCAGGAGCTGGTCTGTGAAGGAATCCGTGGTCAATCCCAGAGAATGGTCACTGTGTATATACAGTGAGTGTGATGTAACAGGGTTTACCAAGCTTTGATACTGGTCTGCGAGGAAAGGACAATATTTACTCTGAAATTCATTTGAAGTGTTGACGAAACGCCTTTCTGTAATCTACTAGAGGAAATGCCACTTTCAGGGGTTAAGTAATAATTGGGTATATATTGAGCCGCAGTCAAATAAGGAATTAGATGCTATTCTTTAACTTTTTCTGGACTGTGGTTTAATTTGCCATCTCTTCTTGTTTAACTTTTTTAAAGTTTACCAGAACTATTTATTCTCTGTATTTTGTAAAGTTGTTCCCTCTCAGTTATACTGGAACCCTCAGCCCTTCCACACTCTCCCCCTTTCTCTCTGAGTCTCTCTCGCACCCAGTGGCCTACTATTTATTATCATTTTGGAGCTTAAAATAAACTTGCACAGCACGTAAAACATGGAACAAGCCTTCGACGTGGGTATATCAAATGCCCTTCTAATCAGATTAACTAATGAAGTAATCGGGGCCATCTTAATAATGTTTACAAAAATAACGACCTAGGATCAGAGGGCAATGTAGATAAACACCGTAATGGACAATAGGTTCACGGAACAACGGGTGTCAAAGAGCGCACTGAAAAAAACATCTTTACATTTACACTCGACAGAATTGTAGATAAACTTCCTATTGATACACTGGGTACAAAATAACAGTCCATATCCGTAACATAAACATAAAGATTTAATATTCATTTGGGAGGGAGTATTCTTCTCACGGGGAGCATGTGTACACATTGCATTTGGGCCCGCCCACTTTTTCGCTCTGTACAACTAAGAAAAATTCGTTTCTTTTGAGTGACGGTTAGCGACATTCTGAATGTTATTTGTCAAGTGACTAGGAAGCGAAACGCTGGAAATCGACAGCTTAGAACGCTTAAAGAAAAAAAAAGAATAATTATAAATGGTAAACGTTTCCAACCAAATAACAGTGTTTGATAGTGGGTTATCATAACTCTTTTGTGAAGATTTCCTTTTAACACCGATGCTGGATTCAACAGAAGTACCTCCCCCTTGTGAATGAGATAGACTGAAGCCGCACGCGACATTGGCAGTTAAATCTTGATGGAGAACTGAGGTGGAGAGTTTTTATTGTTTATCAACAGTCTGTTAATTTGGTGTTAGAGGAAAATTATAGGTGACATTTGTCGGATTTTAACGGGTGCAGGAACACGATTTATGTCTTATCGAGTTTAGGGAAGCATGTGGAAATTGACACTGTTTGGGATAGTGATGAAACCCTGGCTTTGATTTATCTTCTAATATGATCCCTCCTTATGTCAGATTTACCATGGAAATCGACAAGTGTTCAAATTCAAGTAAGTTTTTCGCCGCCAAGAAAATATTTTTATCGATTTGAACGAAAGAATATATGTTCCATGCTGATTTCTTGAGTATTCGAATCTCTTTCTTTCTTTCTCTTTCTGTAGTATCTTTTAACATGTATATATTTTGATTAGACGAGCGAATTTTTCCATTAGAGGGTCAATCAATCCAAATATTCTGTTGGCCAAAATCTAATTTATATGATAATAACAAGTGAACAGACTCTAGAAAGGCACGGACGGCGATACAACGTCATTGGAGGATGGCGAATAATACAGGTACATTATTGTCCGCGGCACGGCCGTGATTGGCAATAATAATTAAACCTGGTCAGTCAAATTCAAAGTCCGTCAAATTCACCACATTCAAAACTCAATCATGGTATTATTAAAAATGCAGTTGCTGCTTCATTTTGTCGCAGATTTCTTTTTACACAAAAATGTTGACTTATTTTGCCTTGGGCAGATTTTTGACATGTGAATTTACATCGCTAGAATCAAATGCCGATTTTTAATTTGCAGAAGGGAAAATCGATTTGACGGAAATAATGTTCGTTTAATGTAGCGAACATAGTTCTGAACACAGCGATAACGTTTAGCGTCCGTTATAATATATTACAATAATCCATTAAAGTGCTGAATTAACGCATTGTGGCCATAACGTTTGTTTTTGTCAGTTTGAGTGGAAATGTTGAAGTTTAGAATAACACGATGATGACATTAGTCAAAAATAAAAAAAAAAAGTTTTCTATCAACACCCGCTGACAATTTGGCGGGAAATACTCAGCTTCCGGGCATGAGTACCGCGCGGACAAGGTGGTCACACGTTCTAGATAGTGTGTTTACTTGTAGAATTGTCTATTTATTAGTAGTATATTTTGCTACACAATATTCCTTGAAAGCAATATTAAGTTATAAAATTTGTGTTTCTGTTTTAGATAAATTCGAGAGGATGCTGATTTTGGCTGTCTTGGTATCCACTGTGGTGACGATCTCTGCACTAGGTAAGTTGTCCCTGGAATATGTCCCCCGACTGTTCATTTAATTTTGCGATCCCCTAAAATTGTATTGTTTTAATTGCAGTAATGAATGATAGTTGTTAGTTTGTTGACATTAGATAGGCATTCGTCATGATAAAAACGTGTCAATTTCGCAGGTAAAAAAAGTATACCATTTCTTCTTGTTTGAGCGTGCCTGACCTCGCTTGACCTTTCCTGGTCTTTTCCTTGCTTTAATTTACGATCTAATTTCCGCCATTTGTTCTTAAATTATCAATTGGACCCACATCACAGGTGTGCATTCTCCAACAGGTTCTAATTAATTCAGCGAATATCTAAAGGTATATCAAGGGACATCACAATTTATTCTAGGTATAATTTTTACCTTTTTCAGTTCTTGCATCCTACAGGTATTTTGTGATAGGCCCAGAATGTTGTAAATAGCAGATGGGGGATTTAATGAGAGAAACCAGGGGGATTGCTCTAGATTTTTTGTTAGGAATCCAACCGTAATATAACAAATATTAAATAATTGAAGAAACCAAAATTTAAGTAGACTGTGTTATTGGTAAATGAGATTTTGTGCTGTAAGTTATAACTTCTTTCAGCTTTAGGAACGAGGGCAGTTTGTGTTTATTTGATTTGGTTTTTTTTTCTCTGGGAATTTGTTAATTTGTAGTGAGATGAGTTCACTAGATGACCCTGGGCTAGTTTTTGTTGGGGGGACTGTTTTTAATTGTATTTGGTCCCTCTCTTTCGGGCAGTGCTATTGATTCTCGTTCTATCCCGTTGTCGCTTCATACGCTGTTGAGTTTCCCCTGAATGCCTGTTGTTAGTGCAGTAAATGAGATTAACTTTTTGAATTAACTTTTAAACAAAATCAATGTGGTTCCAAAGAGTACAAGTTTTAACTGTTTGAGGCAAATTTTTGTCCCTGCAAACTCAAGATACAGGATTAAATTGGAGGACTTGTTCTCTGTGAATACCAAATGAAAAAATATGCAAAACCTAGTATTAGAATATTTAATGCGATTAGGGAAAATTATTCATTGAAAAATATGAAAGAAAAAAAGTGCCTTAACATGTCAGTTGGTGGATGAAAGGTAGAGAATATAGGGGCCTGAAACTGTGACCTTGGAGGTTGTGTGTGTCATTGCTATACCCTCTTATAATTAAGAGTTTTAAATTAAAAGTCTAAAATCAGAGTATAAATTTTCATGCCACAAAATCAATATATATTTTTTAGCTGATACTGATCGTTCGGTGTGATTTCCTCCCTGACATGTGAATAAATAGGCTATAATTACTTTAATTTGTGTCAGATTGAATTTTTCTTTTCCTGTAGTTTTCAGTAAAACTGTGAAACTTCATGACATGTGATCGGTGTATAATGCCCTCAAGATATAAGTTAATTAAGTTTGACATGACAATCATTTAATACCATTGCCATTGTTGTAGTATTTCAAGGCATCCAAAAAACTTTGAATTCTAAAAAAGATGAAAAAAATCTTGTGTTAGTATTTGTGAATTTCGTTTTAAATTTTTGATATGTTTTAATAAGTCATTTTCTGATAAGTACATTTGAGACACAATTCAAAATATTTGGATGATTAATAAATATTGCCCAAGGCTATACTATACAACTGAAGAAACATGAATTTTTTAAAAAAAATTTCATTATTGCTTTACTTTGATAAGATAGATACTGCCCTTAAATGTGTTGTAGATTGTAATATACAGAAATAACAAGCATTTTCATTCCATCTCAAAAGGTTCTGCTGATAAATTTTGACAAATGACAAGGAACACAGATTTTTGTGGACATGTTTTATGTCATTTAGTAAAATTATTAAATGACCATAAATTAAGTTTAAACATCAGATAATTTTTTTAGTAGAAACTTGGATGAAAGTAAAGTAGAAAGACTAATTTATCAAAAAGAAAGTTTTGTTAGTTTAACTTTGTTGTGTGCAATTTTTGGTCAGAATTTTCAGGCTGTTTAGATGGTAAATATTTTCCCATATTCCTCGATCACTTTAACATCCGTGTTTTTTTTAGTTGTAGTAATTAGCAGCTGGTTAGTCTATATTTCATATTTAGCCAATTAAATCGGCAGTGACAGAGTGCAGATCTGGCTCTTTCGAGTGTTTTACTGATATAATATCATAGCTATACAATGTAAAGCTTCTCAGGGCAGTTCTGGACACTGTGTTTTGTCATGGCGAGCAATCTGCGTCTTGGTACTGTCAAATGCGGCACTTAACCACCACATATTTTACTTTAAAAATCTTCGGAAAAAGTCATGAATCTGCCACGAGCTGTAAAGCCTCGCGATAACAGGGACAGGGCCACCAAACTTTGGGATAAAAAATACCAGCATGGATAATTTGTACAGGAAGACAAAATTAAGAGATTTTTTTATAAGTATTACTCACATCCATAGAATAGTATAAGGAAAGTCAGCACCAATACATCTTTTACATTAAGCATTTAGGAAGTACTAGGAAATCAATTTGAAGTACATTTGAAGCTTGTAAAATACTGAGATGACTGTTGCGGTATATCCTTATTGCATTATGAACACTTTAGAATCAGCGTTAGGAGTACTTGAGACTTTCTCTCTGGTGCTGTCAATACTTCAGGCTCTCACAGAGCTCTCGAGGTAATGAAACATAATGGACACTCCAGCCTCCATTTCTAGCAGCTCTCAAGCCTAGGACAATTTTTTTTTCTACTTGTCGGAGGGAAAGTAGAATAAGTGCATACTTTTGTTGTCTTTTTCTTCATCAGACAATCTCTGTATTTAGTTCTGTTTTTTCGAATGATTGGTCAAACAAGTTGTCTTGATCAAGTTTATTTCAAGTAAAAGATTAGGGTAACATCAAAATAAGATAACATGGCATAGATCAGTGCAGGTCGTAAAGCACATTCTTACAAAGTCAAGGTTCAATTTTCCGTTAAAAATCCTACTACAAAAGAGAGAGTTTTAAAAAGAATCACGAAAAAACATTTTTCACAGTTTTATTTATATAGAAAGCCTAATTCAGCTTTCATTGAATTTATGAAACAATTCAGAATTTCTTACAAAAAAAAAAAAAGAAAGAAAAGAGAAAGCTTGTAAATGGTTGATATTTTTGTGGTAGATGGTAATGACTCCTTTTAATGTGACTATCATTCATTTAAGCACCTACTACAGCCCATAGGCTCCGAGAGTAAGATTTTCCTCCTTTTTTTTGTCGTTCACTGTAGTTTGTTCAGTGCATTATATTTATACAACTGTGGTGAAAGTTTAAAGGTTGGGGCGTAGTTTCTTTGTATTAACGTTTGTGGAGATATGTCATTTATAATATCTGACTGGTCAATGGATTATGTCAAAATAAAACAAATTCTGTCATAAAATTAGGAGAACTTTTATGTCCAAATATTTGTTCTGTACACAGATTTTCCCTTTCAAGCCTTAGTTGTGCTAAATTGTGAATAATTAGCTGTACATATATTCTTCTATTTAATTGACTTGCACTAGATCTGTGAGGAGGTTTTTTGTTGGTTGATATAAAGGCCAGAGATTTTTACACATATTTATAACAATGTTCTCCCCCTGACGGCCATTTACAAGGTTCAAGCTTTCACCAGCGGACAGCGACAGGCAGATTAATTTTTCATCAGGATTTCTTGTAATCCTGTCCAGAGTTTATGAAGGGGATGAAGAGAACAAACGATAATTGTCACCTTAGATTTCTCAGGTGACCGCTGGTCAAGTGATGAGTAAATTCATTAGTTACCATGGTAACAGATGATTCAAACTTCCTGTCCTATGCCACCTTAATTTTCTAAGAGGCCTGACTAGGAATAATAATTTCTGCAATATTAATTTGCATGGATATTTGTCTTAATGTATAAGATTAAAATCTAAGGAGACGTCAGGCCTTCTTTTTGATTTGGCAGATGAAAAATTTGACTTTGGTCGGAAATAGGCAAAGCAGAGAAGGAAAATGTCAGAGATTTCAACATGAATCATGTATATCTTGGAAATTTGCATTTTGTGGTTAATTATATTCTTTTGACGCTGCCTTAAAACATGCATAAATCTGAATTTTATTCTTTGAATCACACATTTATTAATTACCATAAGATTGTGGAATTATAATGACATTGTGTGAAGGAACATTATATAAAAATTCTTTGAAGACCATATAAAAACATCTATTGAATATTATAAATAATATTAATTATTTCAATTCACAGAATATTCTTGAGAACCAGCTTAGCAGTAAAATAATTAAAATCGGAATTTTTCTTTTCAAAATTTCAGAAACGTAAAAAAAACACATGTGCAGAATGGTAGAAGAAGGTGAGCTGTCAACTTTGATTTTATCGAGAGTCTACCAATTCTGAACCCTCCCCATTGCATGTCTCTCTCTATTTTTTTAATTGCTAAAATTTATTTGTAAAATACCGACAAGTCAAAAAAAAAATGGCGGTCATGATCCCTTATTGCCACTGATAACAGGTGATAATCAAGGTGTCAACTGCTACCAGATGTAATGCAGAATTGCTCATTCCTCATAAAAAGTGTTTTTTATCAAAGACAGAGATTGTGGAAATTTTGCAAAAAAGGACGGTAAATAACGATTGAATTTACTTGATACTTTGCTGCAAACAAGTTTATATGCGCCTAAAACAAAACAATTCCTCCATAAATAATACGGTGATCAGGACCAGTACTTTATTATTAATTTAAAGAGGAAATGAAAGCAAGTACAGGTAACTAATAAAGAGTCTGCAGAGGGAACACCGCGGATTATGAGATTCAGTTTAGCAAATCCTACATCAACACCAGCATATAAAAGCCCTTGAAACTGCAGAGCAACTTGACAGTACCTCTATGAAGACTTCTTCGAATTTATGTAGCTAAACAATAATTTCAAAATATAATATTAGCAGATTGGAACAGGACTTAATGCTTTGATTATTGATATCATATGTACTAAGAGTAAAAAAAAAAA